AAAGCCGTTTGAAAATTTCCAGAAGACAGTTCAGTGCAGCTGTTTTTTAAGCAACTGGAAAGGGGAACATCTTTTCTAATTTCTGGCGGAAGAAATGATGAATTATTTTATGTAGGCAACTTCCATTTTGCATTTTCCGTTGGTTATCAGACAAGACATAACTTGGTGGGGCCACCTTTTTACCCCTTTTCCACTCATAAAGTCCTTTTTGACTCCCCAAACCCAAGTTGCTAATTTATGAGACATTTCTCACTTCTATCATCTTCTGTCTTGATTGAGTACAAATTAGTGTGGAAAAATGATTACCACAACATCTGAGCTCTTAAGGGTGTCACCTCTTATGTCATTAGCTGGAAGGATTATTTCTGCATGTGCCCTGTACACAACGGACTGGGAACCGAGGGCACAAGGCCATTACAGTAGATCCCACCCCGGGAGGTAGGATGGACTGAGGGTGAGTGTGGAAATAGCTAATTATTGAAATGTGCCGACTCTGGAAGTGATGCAAGATGGAGCTTCGAAGCCTCCCCTGCGAGCAGGCGGGCAGGAAAGGGCCCCGCTGTTTAACAGCACGAGGACTGTTCATCTTGTTATGAAGCCAGATTCTGCCTTGTTGTATTGTTGCAAAGAAATCCTTCTGAATTGCAGTTTGTCAGGAAATGAGTCTGAGTGGATGCACAGACAAAAATCCATTTCTTTTGGGTTTTGTTTCAGTGCGGAATTCCTTCGGAGACATCAGGAGCAGTAATTTAGACTTCCTGCGTTACGTTCTGCCTCTGCTGTGTCTTCACTGGAATGTTTGAGAGGCGTTCTCATCTGCGTGCGGTTGTTTTCCATCTGTTTGGAGAATGGCTGCTTATGCGCTCAAGGTCTTTAGAATTCTTGCATGTTTGGTCTTAATTTGGAGAATGACATAAGCCTTTAATAACTCTGCAGCAAATCAGGGTCACTGATTTTCACCAGCTTTTCAGAGATGAGGCAAAACTTATTTAGGGGTTAATATAAAACTCCTTAGGCTCCAAGCCAGGGTCTGCTAGCAGATTGAGTCTAATTGCCTGTACACATTTGTCCATAGACAGAATTTTCATTGTCAGGTTGATGATCAATGTTTTGAATTCCTAAAGGAAGATAGATTTATTTTCAGTGTATTTACTGAAGCATGAAAAGGGACTAATACTTTTTGGAAATAATTTTACAGGCATTGAAACAGTAGATACCTTGGTGCCAGATGGCTTAAATTTGAATCCTGGCTTAGCCATTTTAGCTGAGTGACCTTGGGCAAGTCACTTAGCCTTTCCATGCCTTACTTTCCTCATCTGTATATCAGGATATAAATAAATCCTATTTTTAAGTGAGTTAATGTTTTAAAGTGCTTAACACAGTGCCTGGCCCATGGTGGGTACTATGTAAGTGCTTTTTAAATAAAAACAAATAGGCCTTTTTTGAGGGCTTGGGTGAATGCCGAGAAAGTGGAATTAACCAGAATGTTCCAACTATCCATTCTCCTCATTGTTTAGGATTGGTAATGACCTCTAAATTGTTGTAGTATATCTGATAAACTGAATAAGTAAACATTTAATATCTTATTTTGATATCATTTCCCACTTAATGAAAAGTTGATAAAGAACTCTCATATACCTTTTACCCAGGTTCACCAATTGCTTACATTTTGCCCATTTGTTTTTGTGTTCATTCATTCATCCATTCATTCATTCATTCTTCTTTTCTCCTCTTCCTTTCTCCTTCCCTCCTTTCTATTTTTTTTTCTCAGAATCATTTGAAAATAAGTTGGAGACGCCCCTTTTTTCTTAAATGTTTCAGGGTGTATTTTTTTTTTTTAAAGATTTTATTTTTTTTCCTTTTTCTCCCCAAAGCCCCCCGGTACATAGTTGTATATTCTTCATTGTGGGTCCTTCTAGTTGTGGCATGTGGGACGCTGCCTCAGCGTGGTTTGATGAGCAGTGCCATGTCCGCGCCCAGGATTCCAACCAATGAAAGACTGGGCCGCCTGCAGCGGAGCGTGCAAACTTAACCACTTGGCCTTGGGGCCAGCCCCTTTCAGGGTGTATTTTTAAAAAAATATTTAATATCCATCCATACACTTTCTTGAGGATTTTTTTTTTTTTTTGAGGAGATTGGCCCTGAGCTAACATCTGTCGCCAAACTGCCCCCTTCTTTTTTTCTCCCCAAAGCCCCAGTACATAGTTGTGTATCCTAGTTGTAGGTCATTCTAGTTCCTCTACATGGGATGCTGCCACACCATGGCTTCATGAGCGGTGTGTAGGTCCCCACCCAGGATCTGAACCAGCAAACCCCGGGCCACCAAGGCGGAGTGTGTGAACTTAACCACTCAGGCACGGGGCCAGCCCCTAGGGTGTAGTTTTTAATAACAAGGACTTTCTCTTTCTTAACTACAGTGTAATGATCAATATTAGGAAATTTAATGTTGATACAACATAGTAATTTAGTCTACAGGACATATTAGAAATTGTTAATTGTCCCAATGATATCCTTTATAGCTGTGTGTATACGTATGTATGTTTGTGCATAGATGTGTGTATGTTTGTGTGTGTATGTAGTTCATTCTGAGAATGACTCTGTATGTGTGGATTTTTTCTGGTCCAAGATCCAGTGTAGGATCACAATTGCATTTAGTTGCTGCGTGTCTCTCCTTTATTGGGAACAATTCCTCAGATTTTTTTTTTTAGTCTTTCATGACCTTGACACTTTTTGAGAATTCAGAGCAATCATGTTGCAGAATGTCCCTCAAATTTGAGTTAGTCTGACTTCTTTCTCATGATTAGATCTGGGTTTAAGGTCATTGTATCTTTCCATTTTAAAAGAAACTGTGATATTTCGTCACTGTAGACTTTTAGAGCGAGAAGATGAGGAGAACTTGATGCCGTACAGATTGACGTGTGCAGTGAGTGAGTGTACAAAACTGACAGGAGAGAGATTCCAAGGGTGCTTACCTACAACAAATAAATAACTATAATCCTAAAGAATAATTCACCCCACTAATGGTGAAGGCAACTCTATCAAGAGAAAAGAAAGGCAGAGCCTCGCTATTTCCTTGATAAGAAGTCAAGTGTAGGCAGAATTCTTTGTGGTGTACCACAGAAATAAATTAAACATCTGCAGAATGTTCTCCTCTGGTCTGGGAACCTCAAAGTTTCTTGGAACCAGGAAACATAAACAGGTATTCTGCTCTTTTGTCATCAAAGAGTGACTGTCTTCACATAATACCAATACATAAGGTGAAAGATGGAAAATGCAGGTCAGCATTCAACTGCTGAGTCTTTTTTCTTCTTTCTGAGAAGGACTGGACGCTATTAAACATTTTATTTTAGTCTAGATATGGGCAGTATTTTTCATCATTGAAAACACTGAGACTCTTTAAAAACAAGTGATTTTTGAAGCAGACTGATAGAAAGGACTGTGCTTTCGTTGGGAAACAACAGAGAGAGAAATGAAATGAAGTAAATGCTTTTGGTGCCATGCACAAAATTATTGATGGTCCTGAATGTACTAAAGTTTGGAAGTGGCAAGAAAGGTTTGATCCTTTTGAGCAAGTGCCTTGGGTACACTCTAGGAAAATCTGACTGAGTCGCTCCTCAGCCTACAATTAGACTCCTGGCTCCTTGTCTGGTGTACGAACTGTTAGATCACATTTCTTTTCACTGATGGATCCATTTTTTAAGGAATTGAAAAAAGAATCCCCAGTGGTTCCTTTTGTGTGAAGAAAACAGGATAAATATTAGCTAGGAAAGGTCATTTTGGTTTCCAATATGTCGGGAGTTCATTATGATGGGTTCTGATAAATTATACTGTGTATTTCTTCCCAATAACAGAAGGTCACATTGTGCCCTTGGGTGGGCATCAGGACAAACATACTTAATAAAGTTGGAGAATCTGGGGATGAAAATTTTCCAGTGTTTTTTTTTCCGAATACTTTATACTTATACAGTTATTCAAAGCCACTTCCCCCCGTTGAACTAATCGCTCAAGGCCCACTCTCTCTCTCCTATAGCCCCAAGGGGGTGGGTCTGTCGCCCAAAGTGTTCTCTAGGCAAACGTGTAACTATCTTCAGGGGCATCTAAAGAGTTTCTCACTTGTGCTTTGCAGAGGATTTACAATGGCTTCACCAGGATTCTAAAGTAATTAAACAGTATTGTAAGGATCATTTTTATATCATATTTGCAACTTTAATATTTGTTAATGCAAATCATTATTTCTCTCTGATCTCCATCACTGGGAAGGATGTATTCAACTTAGCCATGTTGAAAATGCTGTAGTTTCATGTTCCTTTTTTTCTCGAGATGTCTTTGGTTTGGAGTCATATGAGGCCTTCTTGTAAAAATGTTTTTCTGAGTAGAAAAGTCTTTTTAGGTATATGCATTAGGGGAGCGTGTTGAGTGTCAATCAAGGTATTTACAAGTGTTCTTTGTATTTTGGTATGGTGTTTTATGTTGGAAAGACTTTTGCCTTCTGCCTCCCATTAACATTTTTCAAAAAGCATCCTTGCGGATTGTTTAGCATCATCTTCAGCTTTGTATCACACAAAGCCAGGAATTCACATCTTCATGCTGGCTTTTCCATTGCTCTGTGAGCTTGGGCAAGTTGTGGAACTCTTGGCAATGGATCATCTCCGATTTCTGTTTTCATCCCATGGTTAACGAAATGGGAGAGTGAAATTTTGCATCATGAATGGTTTGAGACCCTCTGTCAAATTTTGAATGCCTTTGTTGCTGAGGGATTGTCTACTTTAAAACCATATTCTGTTAACTGATATCTGGCTAGTTAATGAGTATAGAATTCTGTATTTTTTTTTCCTCCCCATTCATTAGGACACTTTACAAGTGTGGATGTGTTTGGCTGTCTACCACTCGCCTGAAACTGCAGATGTCATTGTAAAAAAACATCATTTTGCTACTGGAAATCGGTATTATTTCAACATTAAAATGCTAATGGCTTCCTGTCTTTTCTGTTTTTTAAATAGGTCTTCCAAGCTAAGATAATTTTTTGCAACTGCAGAAATGGTTGGTCCTAGCTACAAATGGGAATTTGCAGTCGCTCTGAAATACATCCTGGAATAATTGTGTTTGACTGGAACCAAATCTTATGAAGTCTCCAAGGTAAAATGATTTTAACACATACCCGGAGATGATGTCTTTACGATGCATTAAGAATTTAGCAAAACTGAGTACCCTGGAGTTGATGATCCTTTATAAAAGCTTACTTTAACATTAAATTTTTGGGAATTTGGGAATCATAGTTTTTTAAATTTTAGCTCTCATCTTCGAAATTATTTCAGTTTGTAAGGCAATGGTTTGGCTATTCGGTAGGGTGAAAGGTGAGATTTTCAAGTTACACCAATTTTTTTTACGTTTGGACAAAAATGTTCAGTGTATTGAACTTGAAGTATCATAGTAGATGGTCATAGGTCAGAAATCCTTTTACTGGGGTCTGGATTATTGAATGAAATAAAGAATTATTGCCAGGTAACTGCCCAGTCATCCCCTCATCCCCAGGCGTATCTCGGGGCAGTCATAGCTATGGTTAACTAATTACTTGTTTGGGCACTGGGAACTTGTTGCTATTCACTCAGGAACCTGGTACGTAGAATTGTCCACGTAAGAAGAAGATGCATCAGGGATCGTTGCCTGAGATTTGGAATGGCTTCCGTTAAGACTTTTGATTAAGGGTTTTGTTGTTGGGATTCAACCAGGAAAAAAAAGAAACCATTCTGATAATGTGGAACGGAAGGAAGTGAATTCAGGCAACTGGTTACACATGTGATGGGAGAGTCAGAGAAGTCAAGCAGAAGATATGGAGGCAGCCCAGAGATTAGCAGGAAGCTGCTACCGTCCCAGGGCTGGTGGGACAAGGGAAGGAAGTGGTGTTTGCCAGCACCTAAGGGAAGGGACCCTCAGTGGGAGCAGGAACCATAGTTGGCCCTTCTGGTAGGAACTGGCACCATGGAGGATAAATGGCCACTTCACAGATCCTGCCCAAGACCAGAGAGGTTGGGGAGAGATACCCTACCTTTCTCTTCCACCCTCCAGGCTCTAGCCAGTGACTCCTATTGGTTAAACCCAGCCAGGAGCCAGCTGATTCAGGAGCCTGGGAAATGCAGCCTACAGGGGTCACTCAGGGGAAGGGGAAAGAATGGATCCGAGGGCAAAACAGGCCCAGGCTGGGATAGGGTTCATACTTGAAACCTCTTCCCATGACATTTTAATGAGCATGGCAAGGGCTTTTTATACCTCCGAGGATGGGTCCTCTCTTGAGGATGACTCCCACAAATTATGCATATACCATGGAATCTTCTGTTTGAAGATGGACAGTAATGGACACTATGATGCACTGCCCAGATCTGCATTCAGGAATGAAGGATTTATTCCCTCAACTGTTGGGAGTACTGCAGAAGGTGGCCTACAGCTTCTCTGAATTGTCCTCAAATCTCAGTGGCTCAGTGGGACCACTGAGAAGAGGCATCTCAGCTTTGGAACTCTCTATAGAGTTTTCTGAGGCCTTTTCCTCCTCTCTCCTGCCTTCTTCCCTCCTCTCCCCTCCCCTAGGCAGTGTCCTGAGAGCAGCCCTTAATTAACCTCCTGCTCACCAATTTCATGTCAGAATTGGCTTCCTGGGGAACCCAACCTTTGGGACTCAGATAATCTCAGATTTACTCTCCAAATTTGGTAAAATCCATCCAGACAAGTTTAGGTGATGCAGGGACCGATCAACAGATGGGAACTGAATTTCACTCGTACTGTAGGTGACAGATTATAGCTCACCTGGAAGACCTGGTCTGAATTTAGAGACTCTACATTGGATGGAACATTGTGCTTAGAGGCCAGGGGAGCCAACCCACTAAGCAGTAACAAGTGTTTAACGATGCCCAGGGGAAGACAGAAGAGTTAAGAAGCCAATAGGAGGCCTGGGCAGCTGGAAATTTGATTAAGAACAAAGAGGTGGATTTCACAACCAGGTTGTGTCAGATGGTTTTAACGAGAGAGATCAGCTTATACTTGAGGGTCTCAGTTTGCTCATGTCTCAGACAGCAGATGGTGGATACGTGGACTGGGCAGGGACCCAGTTGACCTTTGTAAACCAAATATGGGGATAAAGTTTTGTGAATGGATTGTTTTCCCCTTTTTGGTAGACCGAATTCTAGGATGGCCCCTAAGATTTGCGCCCTCTCATGTACACGACCTGTGTTAGCTCCTCCCCTTGAGTGTGGGCAGGTTTGTGATTATGATCAGGTTATGGTTATATGGCAGAGTTGAAGGATTTTGTAGATGTAATTAAGGTCCCAAATACACTGATGTTGAGTTAATCAAAAGGGAGATTATCCTGGGTAGGACTGACCTATTTAGGTGAACTCTAGCAAGGGACTGGGCCTTTTCTGGAAGAAGAGATTCAGACTGAAGGGGCCTGTGGAGGGGCCGTGTGGCCAAGATCTGAATGCCACCTCTTGGAGTTGAGAGCAGTTCCTGGCTGACAGCAAGAACCCAGGGACCTCAATCATACAGACCCAAGGAGATGGATTCTGTCAGCAATCTGAGAGTGCTTAGACGCAGTCTTCCCCGAGTTGAGCCTCTAGATGGGGACACACCCAGATGTGATTTCAGCCTTGTGAGTCCCGGAGCAGAGGACCCAGCTAGAATGTGCCAGACTTCTGACTTACAAAAACCATGACATAATACATTCATGTTGTTTTAAACTGTTTGGCAGTTTGTTACACAGCAATAGAAAACTGATACTCCGTTTATCTGATTCCTTAAAATTCTCCCTTTTTGGGCCACTAATTGCTGCAAATTGGAGGCCAGGGTGCCTGATCCAGCCTGCAAAGCAAAACAAATGGAATTAGTTGCCAATGTATAAAGTGGGCAGATTGCATCTCAGAATTCAGTTTCTCTTGAAAAGCTAGACCTCGCATCCCTGGGCTCACGTTTCTGCACTGCGGTCACAGGCTGGGCTGGGAGCAGCTGCCCCAGACGGGTCTCCACGATCCCTGCTTGTCACCAGTGCCGTTGGCCAGCCAGCCTGCTCATTCCCTTCTAGGTATTTGAATTTTTGGCCCTTGGGTAAGAGAGAGAAGGCTTTGTAACAGTTAGATCAGTCACTGATGCTGGAGTTAACAACTGGAATTTTGAAACGCTACAGGTGGGACAGAGCACCTCATTCAAAAATTCAGCAAATGTGGAATTTGGAAACTTTTTGCTTTCCCTAATAAGTGATAAATTAATAATCAATTCCCTAAAATGACGACAGAATTAAATAATAGCACCTCAGTTCACGTAGGCCCTGCATATTTTCTTTGCCACTTTTGAACTGCTTCTAGGGTTTCTATGTCCCATGAGTGTGCCGATGGGGGGGAGACCGATGAGAGACCCAATGTTTCTGATGCTTCTGTGTGAGTTTAGAATGCTCGGGATTTCCAAGGTGAAAGGCAAAAGGAAGCTAATGCTTTGTGTCCCCCCTTTTTTTGGGGGGGGGGAAGATTAGTCCTGAGCTAACGTCTGCTGCTAATCCTCCTCGTTTTGCTGAGGAAGACTGGCCCTGGGCTAACATCCGTGCCTATCTTCCTCTACTTTCTATGTGGGATGCCTGCCACAGCATGGCTTGCCAAGTGGTGCCATGTCTGCCCCAGGTATCCAAACCAGTGAACCCCAGACCACTGAAGTGCAACGTGCACACTTATCTGCTGCGCCACTGGGCCAGCCCCTTTGTGTCCTTTTTAAAACCCTGTTCTTCAAAGGTGATCTTAGAGCCTTGCTTGGCCTGGCTGCTTCAAGGGCAGATTGAGTCTTAAATCAATAAGCAATATGATACCTTTTCAACAAGATCTATTTGACTAAATTGTGAGAGGCTGAGAGAGAGGGCCGGTGGCAGAGCCTGCTCCCAGGAGAGTGATGTGGGCACTCGGTCCCTGAGGCTGTGCTTTCCCTCAGGCGTGGATTCAGGGCTCTTTCTGAGGCGCTGCTGGACTGGCAGCTGTGGGCTGTTAGACCCTTCGTTCCAGGACATCCTCGGGAGCTTTGCCTTTAGTCTTACCAGAACAGGAATCCAACCCCACGGGCCGTGTCTTTATCATCTGCCCGTGGGTATGTTTATACATCCTGTGTATATAAAAAGGGGGCTCCTCTGATCCACTGTGGTGGGTCGTATTATAGACACCATGAGACACTTGCAAGGCAGAACCTAATGTCACTGGAGTTTCCATTGCCGAGTGCTCTGACTTTTGCTTGAAAAAATTAATTAGAAAAAAGCAAACAAAAAAGTTAATCAAATTCTGTCTAATTTCCCTATAATATCAGAAAATTAGGGGGCAATGCATTTTGGTATTTTCCTTTTATTTATTCTTTTTCGTTTGTTTTAGAATAGACCACCCAACCACATTTGGGAAGTGAATTGTCTTTGAGCAACTATTTGGATATTGTCCATCCATATCAAGTTAAGTTTATGGATTTATTTTCCAGCTTTATTGAGATACAATTGGCACATAACATTGTGTAAGTTTAAGGTGTACAACGTGTTGATCTGATACATTTATAAACTGCAAAATGATTACCATCATAGTATTAGCGACCACTTCTATACGGTCACATAATTACCATTTCTTTTTTGAGCTGAGAACATTTAAAATCTTAGCAACATTCAAGTACACGATACGGTATTATTAAATACGGTATTATTAGCTATAATCACCATGCTGTACTGGAGATCTCCAAACTTGTTCATCTTATAGCCGGAAGTTTGTACCCTTTGACCAACCTCTTCTGATTGCCCCCACCCCCTAAACCCTGCTAACCACCACTCTACTCTCTGTTTTTCTGAGTTTATCTTTCTTAGATTCCACATAGAAGTGATATCATATCCTGATTTGTCTTTCTCTGTCTGACGTATTTCACTTAGCATAAGGCCCTCAAGTTGCATGCAAATTGTTGCAAACAGCAGGCTTTCCTTCTTTCTCATGGCTGAATGATGTTCCATTGTGTATATATACACACACCACGTCTTCTTCATCCCTTCATCTGTTGACCTCCATATAAAGCTGTTTATTTTATATTCACCTGTACTTGCCTGTATTCCCACCAAACTTTGAGGTTGGTTTCATAAACTGCGAAGCCAGTCTTTCAGGCTAGAGAGCCTTAATGTACAGTCAGAGAAACCAGGAGAAAGCTCTTGGGCTGGATGTGAGAATTTCTGTGGTTTCTTTCAGAATTCAGCTCTAAGTGTGTAGCTTTTTAATTTCGTGATATACAATAGTATATAACCCCCATGTTCTATCAGGGCAACTCAAGCTACGCCCTGGGGGTTCATAAATAGACTTCTCACCGAGGCATGTTGCTAAATTGGGAAAGTCTTAATTATAAAAGGTGTTTATTGAAAATTGGGTAACGCACAGTACAAATAAGGTTTGATTGGCCCGCAGTTTCCTTGGGGGAGAAGTCCAGCACCAAGCATCTCCCGCTGCTTTCTCCCACCTTCCCAGGATCGTGTTTGCCTCGTGAGCTTCGCCTCACCCAGCCCTCACTGACTTGCGTCCTGCTCTCTCTCCAGGATGAAAGTCTGTGCTAAGTCAGTGTTGCTGGCGCACTGGCTCTTTCTGGCCTACGTGTTAATGGTGTGCTGTAAGCTGATGTCTGCCTCGAGCCAGCACCTCCGGGGACACGCAGGTAAGCCCCTTTAAGCTCATTATGCGCCGCTGAGATCAGTTAATAAAACCCTTTCAAACGTCAGAGTCCTCATGTTAGACACAGGTAATTGACAAGAGCTTTTGATGGTGTGTAAATAACCAGAGGAAGCATGAAATACAGCAGAGTAAAGCAGGTCAACTGTTTGATGCTTAAAGAGTGTTGTTCCGATGTTTTTAAAGGTGTTCTCCAGGTTTTTCTTTTTTCTTTTCTTTTCCTGAGTGCGCTTCCATTTTTGTAGTGTTGTTTTCAAGGAATCTCGGAAAACCAGCAGCACTTTGTGTATATAACTCCTCCAGCTTCCTTTGAAGGCAGAACATCTTTACTGATAAACTTACATTAACATTTATAGGGCTATAGCTTTCAGGGAGCTTTCAGATAATTTAAGACCCTTTTAAGGTACGTGGAGAAAAGATGGTGAATGATTAAAAAAAGAAGAAAGAAAGGAAAGAAAAGAAAAAAAAGCAGTGGTAATTTTTGCATGGGGCCTAAAATGGAATCTGTCTAAAGTTTTAGAGAATCACTCTGATCATTTCTAGTAAGCCCTTGTCCATAACTTTGCCTATTTCTGAAGAAAGATTAAAATAATCAAGCGTCTCTGGGTGGGTGTGTGTTTCTCTCTCCCTTTCCTTGTTATATCTAAATTTAAAGTGACACAGACTTGGAAAGTCCCCAGTGAATTGTGTTTTCCTGAATAATTCATATTTGTCAGCAGACTTGTACCAAACAATTAATTTACCGTCTCCGCTTCGGTAATTGGAAGGGTGGCAGTGCCGGGCATGCTTTGACTTTTTAGGGAGAGAGTGAAGCTTCAACCCTAAACCGTGTGTGTGTGAGAATCGTAAAGTCTGTTTCCCAAACATCTTATATGTGGAGAAGTTTATTGGCTGTCCTTCCTCTCAGTCCTCCAGAAGGTCCTGCTTTCCACTGAGTTATTCTGATATTTTAAGGTTAAGACATAAGTTTAGGCTTAAGATGATTTTTAAAATCTCTCACGACTCAGTTTTCCATCCTCAAGCGACAGTTTCAAGAAGACTGGAAAAATAATGATTGAAATTTTAATGAATCAGCATAAAATCAATACCATTTGGCTGCTGTGAAGCACCCACGGCTGGTTAGTTCTTGTGCTGTGCGTGTGTGGATGAGCTTGTTCTTGAGGATGGAGTGTTTGAAGTCATTAGTCTTATGTGTTTCATACACGTCTTTTTTCTTGGGTGCAGGTTGAGTCAGGATAGCAATCAGGGAAAGCGTTTCGGTTGGGTGGGTTATCAACAGATTTCTGGATTTCCAAGAACTAGGTTTGAGGGATTGTGTTGAAAAGTGATTAGAACTTGAAGGAAACAGAGGATGCGATGGAACCTTCAGTTTTTTGTCTGTGCGACAATCCTCATTCCATACCGTAACCCTTTGCATTTGGAAAAGGTAGAACCATGGGGATAAATCTAAATTAAAATTAGAATTGTATACATAAGAAATGTGGACAGTATCTTCATATAAGCAAAGATTTGACAGTAACAGGGATGGTGAGCACAGCTTTGGCAAATCCTGCTAAAAAAATGAAATTTTCATCTCAGAATTTCTAGGTGATTTTATTTGGAGTCTCACACTTGTCCTCTGGTTTTTCATTTCTCTTTGGCTTTTGGGGGTTCCTCCAGCTTTCATCTTTGGAATTTAAGACCCCGTCACCCCTCATCTTAACAACCATCAAAGGAATCAGGACTAGTTCCTGCCTACAGGGGGCTCTGTTCTCTCGCTGAGGCTGCATGCTGCCTGGAGAACATCTTCACAAAGTCCCCTTTGTCTAACAGCAAGGACCTCCACAGTAGACTTTCTGGCCTTCTGCTGACAGTGTACCTGTTGAGAGTATGGGCTCCTGAATTCTACTGTGAAGTCTTACTCACCTACAGGTTTCTTAAGCTGTGTCCCTGATGCCTGGAGTATAGTGGATGCTAAATGAATGTTTATTAATATGCTGATTAATTGCCCATTTGTCACTATATGATCAATAAGATAGTTTTCTGCTGATGGTAAAAATTCCAAACAATAGAGACAAGCGTGAAAGATATCCTCTTAATTTAAAAGTGTGGACTAAGAACAGTTTGGTGGATACCAGGGGAAAGGTGGGGTGGGGGGTGGGCACAAAGGGTGAAGTGGTGCACCTACAACACGAATGACAAACATTAACGTACAACTGAAATTTCACAAGATTGTAACCTATCATTGACTCAATAGAAAGAAATTTAAGAAAAAAAAAAGATATCCTCTTAACTTTTTGTTGACTATTGTGTTAATCAGGGTTCTCCAGAGAAACAGAACTGAAGGGGAGGAAGAGCTTGTCTTCTTCCTTCTAGGTCCCTCTGTCTGGTCTAAGAATTAAATTGACATGAGTCAGAATAACAGGAGAAAATCAAACAAAGTTTAATAACATGCATACATGGGAGAAACCCAGGAAAACTGAGCAACTCACCAAAATGGCCAAAGCCACCACCTTAAATACCATCTTCAGCTAAAGACAAAAGAGGATGTTGAGGGTAGTGGTTTGGGACTTCAAAGGGGAGGTAGGCAATTTACGTGGAGATAGAAAAGCATGTGTTTGATAAACAAGTGTTTGCTGGGCCATCTATAAACACTGTGACCCCAGAGATAGAACTTTGATAAAAATGGGCTTAGCAAGGACCCTCCCAGTCTACCAATATCCAGAGTTATCTATGTCTGTCCTGGGACAGGCTTTCTATGTTGAATTCTTTTAGGCAGTTAGGGAGAAGGTCAAAGTTTCCGTCAGTCTTTTGTCCTTAAAAATAATGAAACCAAAGAGAGACATTTTGAGGTGGCCAATTCTGATCCCCCACAGAACCAAAAGGAGATAGATAGATAGATAGATATTTATTTATTATAGGGTATTGGCTCACACACCTATGGAGGCTGAGAAGTCTCATGATTTGCAGTCTGTAAGCTGGAGACCTGGGAAGGCCAGTGGTGTAGGTCTGAGGCCTGAGAGTGGGAGAGCTGATGGTGTAGATTCCAGTCAGTCTGAAGGCCTGAGAACCAGGAGCACAGAGGGCAGAAGATTGAAGTCCCAGCTCAACAGTCAGGCAAAGAACAAATTCAGCCTTCTTCTGCTGTTCTGTTCTATTCAAGTCCTCAAGGGATCGATGGGGCCCAGCCGCGTTGGGGAGGGCCACCTGCTTCACTCAGTCCTCCGATTCAAATGCTGTTCTCTTCTGGAAACACCTCCACGGCCACACCCAGAAATAGTGTTTAATCAGATATTTGGGCATCTAATGTCCCAGTCAAATGGACACATAAAATTAACCATCACACACTATTCTTCTAGAAGAAAAGAATGTATATACCAGTACGTGTGTGTACATATGTATGTGTCACTCTACACCCCATTTTGATATTTTTTTCCATTTAACAATAGAGTTTAGAGGTCTTTTCATTTGAATACTTACAGAGATGTGTCACTCTCGGTAACACTGTGTAGTCATCTATTGTATGGATGTACCATAAATTCTTTGCTCACTCCCAGTTTTGGTGGATTTAGCATGTTGGCTTACTTATACAAATATGTGTATCCTGACTTCAGGTGAATTCCTTGTAGTTAGATCCTCAAAGTGCTTATGAATGTATTAGAGAGAGTAGGCTAATTGCTGTAGCAAATAGACCAGATATGCACAATGGCTCAAACAAAAGAAGTTTTATTTCTTGCTCAAGAGTCCTGGGTGAGTAAATATGTCAGCCAGATGATCCTCCTCTACTGCATTCTTTTTGGATCCATGGTAGATGGAAGCTCTGTCATTCAGCCTGTGGCTTCCAAGGTTGTTCCGGAGAGGTCTCATTCCAGCCCGCTGGAGGGGAAATGAGCATGGAGCAGCCATCTGGGAGGCGCTCATGAGTGGGGCCAGGATGTGGGCTGCCTCACTTGTGTCGTCCTGCCATTGGCTGGGGCTTAGGCCATGGCCACACCTGCCACAGGGTGGCTGGGAACGCTGTAGTCGGGGGCCCAGGTTGAAGGAGAGAATGTGAATTTTGATGAGCAGCCTCTGACACGGTGCATTAATGTTTTAAGAGCGTCACAGCGCCCTCCAATACATTTGCACTTATATGCTTCCATCAATGGTAATAGATGATAATAGCCCTTTCCCCATTCCCTCGTCAACTCTGGGTGCCATCAAGTTTTAATTTTTTGCAACATAGTCATGAAAACAGTTGTCTGATTGTTTTCACTTGCATCTCTTTTTGACTAACGACTCTTTTAATGTGCTGGTGGACTGTTTTGTTTTTCTTTGAGCTATTTTATCCTGTACCCATTTTTCTCTTGACTCTATTGATTGTTTCCTTGTTGATTCGTAAAAGCTCTTTGTAAATTGAGGACACTTTGACCTTCCCTTTTCTTGTTGCCTCATGCTCCTCCTTCCACCACTCTCATTCCAGTGAGCTGTGTATTCCAGGCTCTGTGTGTGTGTATGTGTGTGTGTGAGTGAGTGTGTGTGAGTGGGATGGGAAGGGGGATGAGGAGTGCTGTGAACTTTCTCTCACGACCTTCAGGAGAAGAAAGTTCATGACCCTTGCAATGGCCTGTGGAGTTGTCTTCCCAGAATAGCTCTCAGCTGATGGAAGACTCAAAGGTCAGAGCCAGTTGGAGGCTGTGTGCTGAGATGCTGAGAAACTCTGGTCAGACTTTCACTCCACGATGGGTGTACCTAAGCAGAGCGAGCTGCAGAGAGTTAACTGCAGAAGCCTGTGTGTGAGTGTCCAGAAGGGCTCCTGACACTGTCCCAAGGGCTGTGTGGTTAGTGCTGGCCAATTAAAGGAACTGCGGCCCTAGGAAATGCTAGTTCGAAGTTTACTGGATGCTTTTAAGGGCTTGTGTTAGGGGAGTGGCTTGTTGATGGTTGTGTATAAACAAGGAGATATTTACAACCGCATCTCCACCCCACCCCTCTAAGATAAGACAGAGGGGAAGAAGTGGGGGTTCA